TTGGAGGGATTTGGGAGAAATTGACATAGAGTTTTGGGAGTTGTAGTTCACCTACAACCAGAGAAACACAGAATCCCCATGACCAACCGAACCTACTGGAGTGATTTCAGGAGACTGACTCACCATAGTGGGAGTTGTAGTTCACCCTACAGCCAGAGAGCACACGGAACTCCACCCATGATGCATCTAGAGCAAACTTTTGCAACATGACAAACTAAGTACTGGTGGAGTTTCAGGGGGTTAACCTGGCATGATGGGAGTTGTAGTTCGTCCACAACCATATGCATTTGGTACAGTTACAACATTGACAACACCAGGTACCCAAACTAGTATAAATAAATAATAAATATCATAAATTTAAGAGAGAGAAAAGTAATAGTCAATTATTATTATTATTATTATTATTATTATTATTATTATTTAAGAGACTGAAAATGGCATCATAATAATAATAATAATAATAATAATAATAATAATAATAATATAAGAGTGAAAAAGTGCCATAATAGTTTGTTGTTGTTGTTGTTATTATTATTATTATTATTAAAGAGATAGAAAATGGCATAATAATAATAATAATATAAGAGTGAAAAAGTGCCATAATAGTTTGTTGTTATTATTATTATTATTATTATTATTATTAAAGAGATAGAAAATGGCATAATAGTAATAATAAATAAATATAAAAGAGAAAAAGTGCCATAATAGTCATTATTATTATTATTATTATTATTATTATTATTTAAGAGACTGAAAATGGTATAATAATAGTAATAATATATAAGAGTGAAAAAGTGCCATAATAGATTATTATTATTATTATTATTATTATTATTATTATTATTATTATTAAAGGGATAGAAAATCTTGCACTTTATGTACTGCACCTTAGATCTTGCACTTTATGTATGTGCCCAACGGTACGCAGTATGTTGTTGATTGAGTGATATTACTGACTGGGTGGCATTTAAGTCTCTTGCACTTTACGAACTGTTTAACTGGTGTGGCTGAACGCCTAGCCCCACCTGAATCTATTGTTATCCATGTGGCTCCCCATCCCCCTATTTGTTCTGTCCCTGTTACTGCTGACTAGTGGAGGGGGCAGGGGAGGAGGAGGGCTGGAGCCTGTGAACAAGGATGGGGCGGGGAGGGGGGAGGAGGGGAGGCAAGAAAAAACGCCAACAAACCAAACAACTAGCGAAACAGAAACTAAGATCTTGGATTTGGACTGCGGCATGGAGGAGGGGAGGTGTTCCACTAGCCGAAGGGCCCCCATAGAGGTCGTGGTGGGGAGGGGGAGATGCGGAAAAAGGAGACCTCAAATTCGGCCTAATTCGGACCGCTTATCTACATTAATAACCCCAAACCGGTCTCCTAAGGTAAATTGGTGTAACCAGGTGAGCGGGACCTCTGGATTAAAGGTGGTGCTGTTGAACGCCAGATCTGTCAACGGAAAAACGACCTTTATCCAGGACTTAATCCTGGATGAGCGGGCAGATCTGGCGTGCATTACGGAGACCTGGCTGGATGAAGCTGGGGGTGTGAATCTCACCCAGCTTTGTCCTCCAGGCTTCTCCGTACAGCACCAACCGAGATCCGGAGGACGGGGAGGCGGGGTTGCAGTGGTCTATAGAGATTCCATCCATCTGACCCCCATCCCACAGTCAACAAATTTTGAATGCGTCCACCTGAGGGTGGGTGACCGGGACAGATTAGGGATTCTGTTAGTGTACCGTCCAACTCGCTGCACTACAGTCTCCCTGACTGAGCTAGCGGGGGTGGTCTCGGACCTGGCATTGGAGTCTCAGCGGCTGCTTGTGCTGGGGGACTTCAATGTCCACGCCGAGGCCGCCTTATCGGGAGCGGCTCAGGACTTCATGTCTGCCATGGCAACCATGGGGCTGTCCCAACAGGTATCTGGCCCCACCCACAGTGCTGGACACACATTGGATTTGGTTTTCTGTCAGGGATGGGAGCAAGGTGGCGGTGTCGAGGAGTTATCCACCTCTCCGTTGCCATGGACCGACCACTATCTGGTCAGATTTAGACTTACCACACCTCCCAACCTCTGCAGAGGTGGGGGACCCATTAAGATGGTCCGCCCCAGGAGGCTTATGGATCCGAATGGATTCCTGACGGCTCTTGGGGATTTTCCTGCCACCTCGGTAGGTGACCATGTCGAGGCCTTGGTCGCTCTCTGGAATGGGGAGATGACCAGGGCAATTGACATGATCGCTCCGGAGCGTCCCCTCTCAAGTAGCCGAGCTAAACCAGCCCCTTGGTTTACTGAGGAGCTGGCAGTGATGAAGCGAAGAAGAGGGAACTAGAGAGCGTGTGGCGTTCGGATCCAAGCGAGTCAAACCGAGCACGGTTTGTGTCCTTTCTTAGGGCATATGCCGCGGCAATAAAGGCCGCAAAGAAAGTTTTCTTTGCGGCCACTATTGCGTCTGCAAAGAACCGTCCGGCGGAGTTGTTTCGGATTGTTAGAGGTCTTTTAACTCCCGCCACCTCTGGCGGGAGCCCTGACAATTCGGTCACGCGCTGTGAAGCATTTGCTCGGTTCTTTGCAGACAAAGTCGCCTTGATCCGTTCTGGGCTGGACGCCGCGTTAAATGCAGTCTCAGAGGATGTAACAGAGCACCTGCTTGTCCTATTTTGATGGATTCTTTTCAGTTTGTGAAACCCGAGGATGTGGACAAGATACTTGGAGGAATGAGGCCTACCACGTCCATCCTAGACCCCTGCCCATCCTGGCTTCTGAAGGAGGCCAGAGGGGGATTGGCGAGTGGGTAAAGGTGGTGGTTAATGCCTCCCTCCAGGACGGCAATATTCCAGCGAGCTTAAAACAAGCTATAATAAAACCGCTGTTGAAAAAACCATCACTGGACCCCACTAAATTCGTCAACTATCGGCCTGTTTCCAATCTCCCCTTTTTGGGCAAAGTCATGGAACGTGTGGTGGCCTCACAACTCCGGCATTCTTGGTAGACACGGATTATCTGGATCCGGCACAGTCTGGCTTTAGGCCGGGGCATGGTACCGAGACAGCCTTGGTCGCCTTAGTGGATGATCTGCGCAGGGAACTAGACAGGGGGAGTGTGTCCCTGTTAGTTCTGCTGGACCTCTCAGCGGCCTTCGATACCGTCGACCACGGTATCCTTCTGGGGCGCCTTGCGGAAATGGGCCTTGGGGGCACTGCTCTGCAGTGGCTCCACTCATTCCTGGAGGGACGCACCCAGAAGGTGTTATTGGGGGACTCCTGTTCTGCCCCACAACCTTTGACTTGTGGGGTTCCACAGGGTTCCATACTGTCCCCCATGCTGTTTAATATCTACATGAAGCCGCTGGGTAAGATCATCCGGAGTTTCGGGGTGCGGTGTCATCTGTACGCAGATGATGTCCAACTCTGTCACTCCTTTCCACCTGCTACTAAGGAGGCTGTCGAGGTCCTGAACCGGTGCCTGGCCGCTGTGACGGTCTGGATGAGGGCGAACAAACTGAAACTAAATCCAGACAAGACAGAGGTACTCCTGGTCAGTCGCAAGGCCGAACGGGATATAGGGTTACAGCCTGTGCTGGATGGGGTCGCACTCCCCTTGAAGGCACAGGTTCGCAGCTTGGGTGTGACCCTGGATTCATCGTTGAGCCTGGATCCCCAGGTTTCAGCGGTGACCAGGGGAGCATTTGCACAGCTTCGGCTCGTGCGCCAGCTGCGCCCGTACCTCGGGATGTCTGACTTGGCCACGGTGGTACCCGCTCTGATCACATCCCGACTTGACTACTGCAACGCTCTCTACGTGGGGCTGCCCTTGAAGACGGCCCGGAAGCTTCAGCTGGTTCAGCGTGCGGCAGCCATGTTACTAACTGGAGCGGGATACAGGGAGCACACAACACCCTTGTTGTCCCAGCTCCACTGGCTGCCGATTTGCTACCGGGCCCAATTTAAGGTGCTGGTGTTGGCCTACAAAGCCCTGAACGGCTCCGGCCCAAAATACCTTTCAGACCGCATCTTGGCCTATGAGCCCACGAGGACCTTGAGATCGTCTGGGGAGGCCCTTCTCTCGATCCCGCCTGCCTCACAGGCACGCCTGGCGGGGACGAGAGAGAGGGCCTTCTCAGTGGTGGCCCCCCGGTTGTGGAACACTCTCCCTACAGACATCAGGCAGGCGCCCTCTCTTTTGTCCTTCCGAAAAAGCCTCAAGACGTGGCTGTTCGAGAGGGCATTTAATTAAGTGCTATAGTATGTGGTAAAGACGACTGGAATGGTACAAGGAATACGAGATTGGTCACGATTCTATTACGAGACGAAGCGGATTAGTTAGTGTAATTTTAACTGTTGTATTGTTGTATGGTTAATATGCTGTTGTACTTGTCTTTGTGTGAATTGCCTTTTGTACTGTACACCGCCGTGAGTCGCCCGAGTGGGCTGAGAATGGCGGTTAATAAATGCTCCAAATAAATAAATAAATAAATAAATAGAAAATGACATAATAATAGTAATAATAAATAAATATAAAAGAGAAAAGTGCCATAATAGTCTATTATTATTATTATTATTATTATTAAAGAGACAGAAAATGGCATAATAATAATAGTAATAATAAATATAAGAAAGAAAAAGTGCTATAATAGTCTATTATTATTATTATTATTATTTAAGAGACAGAAAATGGCATAATAATAGTAATAATAAATAATAAATATAAGAGAGAAAAAGTACCATAATAAGTCTATTATTATTATTATTATTATTATTATTATTATTATTATTATTATTATTTAAGAGACAGAAAATGCTATAATAATAATAATAATAATAATAATAATAATAGTCCATTAAAATCAGGCCAATATCCCACTCCTGCCTTGGCTGACTTTTCCATTGAGCCTGTATTTAGTCTAATGGCTCAGCAGTTAAAGGGGAGTTCCTTTGAGAAGCATTGGGATGATGTCCTTTTCTTTTGCAAACAATGCATTCATTGCAATGTCTTTCTTTTGCAGAAGCCGCACGGGCCGGATCCGCAGGAATGGCGCCGAAGGGCCACCGCCATGCAGACAGCCTTTGAGGGCCTGGTCCACTCTTCCGCAGACAGCGTTCGGCGGGCAAAGACAGGTCAGTGGGGCATCTGCACTGGGGAGTTAACCCACTGCTGAACAGCTCTCACAGTCAGGAAGTTCTTCCTCATGTTCAGATGGAATCTCCTTTCTTGTAGTTTGAAGCCATTGTTCCATTGTGTCCTAGTCTCCAGGGAAGCAGAAAACAAGCTTGCTCCCTCCTCCCTGTGGCTTCCTCTCACATATTTATACATGGCTATCATATCTCCTCTGAGCCTTCTCTTCTTCAGGCTAAACATGCCCAGCTCCTTAAGCCGCTCCTCATAGGGCTTGTTCTCCAGACCCTTGATCATTTTAGTCGCCCTCCTCGGGACACATTCCAGCTTGTCAATATCTCTCTTGAATTGTGGTGCCCAGAATTGGACACAATATTCCAGGTGTGGTCTAACCAAAGCAGAATAGAGCATGGGGAGCATGACTTCCCTAGATCTAGACACTATGCTCCTCTTGATGAGGCCAAAATCCCATTGGCTTTTTTTGCCACCACATCACATTGTTGGCTCATGTTTAACTTGTTGTCCACGAGGACTCCAAGATCTTTTTCACACGTACTGCTCTCGAGCAGTACTGTCTTGTGCCAGAGTCTTTGCATTATTATTTACTTATTATTATTATTATTATTATTATTATTATTATTATTATTATTCTGACACAAAAACACAGTATTTCACAGCAAACTCTCTCTCTCTCTCTCTCTCTATATATATATATATATCTATATATCTATATATCTATATATCTATATATCATATATATATATATATATATATATATATATATATATATATATATATGCATGCTGGATTTCGTATCACAAAATCACAAGTCGAACACTTCCCAAGCGTCTAGGACTGTGTGATGTATTTTCAAATTATATTATTATTACTAGCTGTTCCCTGCCACGCGTTGCTGTGGCCCAGTCTGGTGATCTGGAAAATAAAGTAATGAGAAAGTGTTGGTTTCTAATATATGTAATTCCTTTCTGCTTGTGAGTAAACAGGATTTCTTGTTGTTTCTTTGTCAGTGTTGATGTGGAGAGTGTCTGGTTTGCCTCCTCTGGGATATGCAACATATCCTAGGGTCTCTTTCAAATCTATGATACTACATCTGTGTGTGTGTGTGAGAATCATATCTATCTATCTATATCTATAGCTGGATGGCTCTTTGTCAGGAGGGCTCTGATTACATTTTCTTGTCCTGGTGAAGAGAGTTGGACTGGATGGCCTTAAGTATTTTCTGTTGGTCATCGAGGTTCTGTGTGGGAAGTTTGCCCCATTTCTGTTGTTTGTGGGTTTCAGAATGCTCTTTAATTGTAGTGAACTATAAATCCCAGTAACTACAAATCCCAAATGTCAAGGTCTATTTCCTCCAAACTCCATCTGTGTTCATATTTAGGCATATGTGTCTTTTTTGGTCCAGATCCATCATTGTTTGAGTCCACAGTGCTGTCTCGATGTAGGTGAACTACAACTCCCAAACTCAAGGTCAATGCCCACCAAACCCTTCCAGTGTGTTCTGTTGGTCATGGGAGTCCTGTGTGCCATGTTTGGTTGAATTCCATCATTGGTGGAGTTCAGAATGCTCTTTGATTGTAGGTGAACTATAAATCCCAGCAACTACAACTCCCAAATGTCAGGGTCTATTTCCCCCAAACTCCATCTGTGTTCATATTTGGGCGTATTGAGTGCTTGTGCCAAGTTTGGTCCAGATCCATCATTGTTTGAGTCCACAGTGTTCTCTGGATGTGGGTGAACTATAATTCCCAAACTCAAGGTCAATGTCCGCCAAACCCTTCCAGTTTTTTCTGTTGGTCATGGGAGCCCTGTGTGCTAAGTTTGGCCCAATTTCCATCATTGGTGGAGTTCAGAATGCTCTTTGATTGTAGGTGAACTATAAATCCCAGCAACGACAATTCCCAAATGACATAATCAATTTTTTTTAGTGGAGGACATAAATTGGACTGTTAGGTGTCTTGCGTCCAAATGTGGTGTCAATTCCCCCAGTGGTTTTTGAGTTCTGATGGTAGCACGAACTAACATGACATTTTTATTTATATAGATTGCTGTTGCTGTTGTTGTTGTTGTTGGTGGTGGTGGTGGTGCTGGTCCCCTTCTGTTGTCCCTGGGAGGTGTTTCTAAGCCCAGGCCTCTCCGCTTTCCCTTCTGGGCCCAGATTTGCAGAGGGAAAACCACCTTTTGGCGTGGATTTTTCAAGCCTATCACTCCTTCGCCTTGGGAGTGATAGGCTTGCTTTCAGAAGGATCCCGAAAGCCTTATGAGGGGCAAATACGAGCTGCGCCTCCCCTCCCAGCCTGCCTCCCCTTCGCCATGGAAACCTGCTTTGGAGGCGTTTGCCCAGGGCTTTGGCCCTAATCCCTCTTTGGGGGGCGGCCATAACAGTAATAAAAATGTCATTTTATCCGGATCAGCGACAGGGAAGAACCCGGATCGACTCAAAGCTCTGTTTGCAAAGCAAAGCGCCAAACTGTCGTCTCCTCCGCTGCTGCTTCTCCTCCTCCTCCTTTCCGCACAACCCTTTCTTGCAAGGAAGAAAGAGGAGAAGGAAGGGCAACAGGGTCCATTTGTTGCAAAGGGAGCATGGGGACGATGGGAGATGTAATCCCCCACCCGAGACCCATCTCAGCCCATGTTGTTGTATATAATTGTTATATTATAATGCATTATATATTATTACAGTGTTCCCTCACTTATTGCAAGGGTTACATTCCAGGATCACCCCCGATAAGTGAAAATCCACAAAGTAGGGATGGTATATTTATTTTAATATTTAAACATTATTTTAATAGTTATACACTATTCTATACGCTAGTTTATAAAAACTTGAAATAAAGTCTGGAGGGAGGGAGGGCGGATTAGGGAGGGAAAGCGCTTAAGAGAGCGGCAGCAGCAAAAACCCACAAAACAGCGAAAATACTGCAATATATATTTTAAATTAATATTTTTTAAAAACTGCAAAACAGCGAGTCCACTAAAAGCAAACCACGAAATAGGGAGGGAACACTGAGGGCATTATATTACTGTATATATTCGAGTATAAGCCTACTTTTTCAGACCTTTTTTTGGGCTGAAAAAGTCCCTCTCGGCTTATACTCGAGTCAAGGTTATTTATTACTAGCTTGGGGACCCGGCGCTGCCCGGGTTATTTGAGAAAGGAATTGTGTATCAAGGTTGGTCTTTATCCGTTATGTATATGGCTCACAGTGGTCTCAGGAAGTTAGTGAAAGTACTGTGAGTCCCATCATCTGTGGTCCATCTTCCTCCAAATTGCACCAGAATGGAGAGTGGGTCGTGGGAGCTCTGTGTGCCAAGTTTTGTTCTTGATCAGTCATTGGATGAGGGTCACAGTGGTCTCAGAAAGTGGGTTTAGGTACTGCAAGTCCCATCATCCATAGTCTGTTCTCCCCCAAACCTCACCAGAATGTTGACTTGGCCAAGGGGGCTCTCTGTGCCAAGTTTGGTCTTTCTTGGTATTTGGGTAAGTGTGGCTGTGGTTTCAGGAAGTGAGTGAAGGTACTGCAAATCCCATCATCCATCGTCCGTCATCCTCCAAACGGCATAGGGATGTAGAGTGCGTCATGGGGGCTCTATGTGCCAAGTTTGGTCTTGATCAGACATTAGATGAGGGTTGCAGCCGTCTTGGGAAGGGAGTGGAGGTACTTGAAGTCCCATCATCCATGGTCTATCCTCCTCGAAAGTGCACCAGGATGTAGAGTGGGTCATGGGGACTCTGTGTGCTAAGTTTGGTCTTGATCAGTCATTGGCGAGGGTCTCAGTGGTCTCAGGAAGTGAGTGAAGTGACTACAAGTCCCATCATCCATTGCCAAAGTCTTCCAAACCGCACCAGGATGTAGAGTGGGTGATGAGGGCTCTTTGTGATCCATAATTGTTGGCAGTTGTAATGGTCTTAGGAAGGGAGTGCAGGTATTGTAAGTCCCATCGTCCATGGTGCATCCCCCTCCAAACTGCACCAGGATGTAGAGTGTGTGATGGAGACTCAGCGTGCCAAGTTTGGTCTTTATCGGTAGTTGGATGAAGGTTGCAGTGGTCTCAAAAATTGAGCAAAGGTACTGCAAGTCCCATAATCCATGGTCCATCCCCGGCCAAACCACACCAGGCCGTAAAGTGGGTCATGAGAGGTCTATGTGCCAAGTTTGGTCCTTATCATTGGATGAGGTTAACAGCGGTCTCAGAATGTGAGCGATGGTACTGCAAGTCCCATCATCCATGGTTCAGCCTCCTCCAAACTGCAGTAGGATGTCGAGTGGGTCTTCCAGGCTCTGTGTGCCAAGTTTGGTTTGCATTGGTAATTTTCTGACGCAGCTCCTGGCCTTTTCCTTTCCTCTCTTTGTCATCTCAGAATCTTGGAATTGAGGGTGGCCAATCAGAGACCATATGCAAATAGCACCACAGCGGCAGCCAATCAGAACGCTGGCACATACTCCTCCGCTCGCACCGCCACACGTCCGCCGCATACAAACTTTGACTTTTACTATATGTATAGATTTTACTCTGTTACAAATACGTAATAAATGTATTATTATTATTATTATTATTATTATTACATTTATTATTTCACTTTATTATTGTTGTTATTATTACATTTATTATTTGGAAGAGACCTGGTGGGCCATCATCCAGTCCAACCCCATTCTGCCAAGAAGCAGGACATTCGCATTCAAAGCAACCCCGACAGATGGCCATCCAGCCTCTGTTTCAAAGCCTCCAAAGAAGGAGCCTCCGCCACACTCCGGGGCAGAGAGTTCCACTGCTGAATAGCTCTCACAGCCAGGAAGTTTGAAAAGTCAAAAACTGATTTTTCTTAAGTACTTGGTGGAAGGGGTCAATGGGATATTAACAAAATAATAATAATAATAATAATAATAATAATAATAATAATAATAATAATTGTTGTTGTTGTTGTTGTTGTTATTATATTGATATTATGATCTGTCTATTTAGGAGCTGTCATTGGGCTGAGGTCAACTCCTTCCACCGGAAGCGTCTCAAGCCTTGCAAATGAATATAACAATAATAATAATAATAATAATAATAATAATAATAATTGTGTGAAATTATGATTTCTCTCTTTTGAGCTGAGCTGGATCCCTTTGCAAGTGTTCTCTCTGCGAAGGCCTTTTCCCTTCATGCTTATTTATCTACTCTGTCCCTGGCAGCACTGCAGTCCTTCATCCGCGCTTACGCCGCGTTCCCTTCTTCCTTGCGGACCATCTTCTGCCTGCGCTCCCTCCACCTGGGACACCTGGCCAAGAGCTTCGGCCTCCGAGACGCACCAGGCAACCTCAGCGCCTCCATTGCGCCCCAGAAGCAAGGCAAGAAGCAGGAGAAGAGGAAAAGGTTCGCAGACCTCCCTCCCTGCCTCCCTTCCTTCCTTCCTTCCTTCCTTCCTTCCTTCCTTCCTTCCTTCCTTCCATCTGCCAGGAGGGATTGCATTATGTCTTTCTTATTTGGCTGGGCTGGGTGGCCCTCTTTGGGAGAGCCTTCTGACTCTATTCTTTGTATATTTTATTATTTAAGCAGGCTGGATGGCCCTCTGCTGGGAGGGATCAGATGGTGCCTTCCTGCATAATAGAATTGAACTAGAGACTCTTCTCAACTGTATTATTATTGTTCTTAATGTTATTGTTAATATTATTACTATTATTATTATTATTGTGTGGGTGTCCATCTGCCAGGAGGGATCAGATGGTGACTTCCTGCATAATAGAATTGAACCAGAGACTCCTCTCAACTGTATTATTATTATTGTTCTTAATGTTATTGTTAATATTATTACTATTATTACTATTATTAATATTATTATTATTGTGTGGGTGTCCATCTGCCAGGACGGATCGGATGGTGCCTTCCTGCATAATAGAATTGAACCAGAGACTCCTCTCAACTGTATTATTATTATTGTTCTTAATGTTATTGTTAATATTATTACTATTATTATTATTATTATTATTGTGTGGGTGTCCATCTGCCAGGAGGGATCGGATGGTGGCTTCCTGCATAATAGAATTGAACCAGAGACTCCTCTCAACTGTATTATTATTGTTCTTAATGTTATTGTTAATATTATTAATATTATTATTACTATTATTATTATTATTATTATTATTATTATTATTATTATTGTGTGGGTGTCCATCTGCCAGGAGGGATCGGATGGTGGCTTCCTGCATAATAGAATTGAACCAGACGGCCTTTAGAGGCTCCCCTCAACTGTATTATTATTATTGTTAATGTTATTATTATTATTATTATTATTATTATTATTATTATTATTATTGAGCAGTGGGCGAGTGTCCATCTGCCAGGAGGGATCGGATGGTGCCTTCCTGCAAAATAGAATGGAACCAGAGGCCTTTAGAAGCTCTTCCCGACTTTATTATTATTATTGTTGTTAATGTTGATGTTGTTGTTGTTGTTGAGCAGTGAAGAGGTGTCCATCTGCCAGGAGGGATTGGATGGTGCCTTCCTGCATAATAGACTGGGGATCGGACTGGATGGCCTTTAGAGGTTCCTCCCAACTCTATTATTACTATTTTATGATTACTGGCTGCAACAGCAGCCATTTGTGTGACTCTATGGGGAAATCCCACCCCATGGAATGGACACTCCACACCTTGGGATGCCCCCTTCTTTTCCTTCCTTCCTTCCTTCCTTCCTTCCTTCCTTCCTTCCTTCCTTCCTTCCTTCCTTCCTTCCTTCTTCCTTCCTTCTTCCTTCTCTCTCTTTCCTTCTTCTTTCCATCTTTTCCCTTCCTTCCTTATTTTTTCCCTCTCTTTCCATACTTCTTCCATCCCTTCCTTTCCTTACCATCTTTTCTTCCCTTTCTTCCCTTTCCATCCCTTCCTTCTTCCCTTTCAATCTCTTCCTTCCTTCCTTTCTTCCTTATTTCTTTCCTTCCCTTTCCATCTTTTTCTTCCTCCCTCCCCTCTTTCCTTATTTCCTTCCCTTTCCACTTTTTAAGTTCCTTCCTTTCTTCCTTCTCTTTCCATCCCTTCCTTCCCTTTCTCTCAATTCCCTTTCCATCTTTTCCTTCCTTTTCTTTCTTTTCTTCCTTCCTTACTTCCTTCTTTCCATCTTTCCATCTTTTCTCCCTTTCTTCCCTTTCCATCTCTTTGCTCTTCCATTTTCATCTCTTCCTTCCTACTTTATTTCTTTCCTTCCCTTTCAATCTTTTCCTTGCTCCCTTCCTTTCTTCTTCCCCTATTTCCTTCCCTTTCTGTGTTTTTTTATTTCCTTCCTCTCTTCATTCTTTTTCCATCTTCCCTTTCCCTTCCATCCCTTTCTATCTTTTCCTTTCCATCCCTTCCTTCTTTCCCTCCATTCCCTTTCCATCTTTTCCTTCTTTTCTTCCTTCCTTGCTTCCTTCTTTCCATCTTCCCTTTCCATCTTTTCCTTCCTTCTCTTTCCATCCCTCCGTCTATTCCTTCACACTCCATCTTTTTCCTTTCTTTCCCTTTCTTACTCCCTGTCTCTCCTTCCTCCTTTCCTTCCTTTTCTTCTTTCCTTCTCTTGACATCTTTCCCTTCCTTACATCCTGTCTGTCCCTCTTCCTTCCTTCCTTCCTTCTTTATTTCCTTTCTTCTTTCTCTGACATCTCTTCCTTCCTTCTTTCTATTCATATCCACCTTTTTCCTTCCTTCCTTCCTTATTTCTTTCCCTCTCTTTCCATCTTTTCCATACTTTTTTTCCATCCCTTCCTTTCCATCTTTTCCTTCCTTCCTTCCCTTTCCATCCCTTTCTCATTCCCTTTCCATGTGTTTTCCTTCCTTCCATTCTTCCTTCTCTTTCCATCCCTCCCTTCCTTCTTTTTCCATCTTCCCTTCCTTTCCTTTCCACCTTTACCTTTCCATCCCTTCCTTCCTTCCTTCTTTCCTTCCTTCCTTCTTTCTATCTTCCCTTTCCAGCTCTCCCTTTCCATCTTTTCCTTCTGTCTTTTTCTTTCCATCCCTCACATCCTTCCTTTCCATCTTTTCCTTTCTTTGCCTTTCTTACTTCTTGTCTTTCCTTCCTTCCTTATTTCTTTTCCTCTCTTTCCATCTTTTCCATACTTTTTCCCATCCCTTCCTTTCCATCTTTTCCTCCCTTCCTTCCCTTTCCATCCCTTTCTCATTCCCTTTCCATGTGTTTTTCTTCCTTTCTTCCTTTTCTTTCCATCCCTCCCATCCTTCCTTTCCATCTTTTCCTTTCTATGACTTTCTTACTTCCTGTCTCTCCTTCCTTCCTTCCTTCCTTCCTTCCTTCCTTCCTTCCTTCCTTCCTTCCTTCCTTCTCCTAATCCTCAGTTCCCTTCTTTCTTCCCTGCAGGGACCTTGGGAGGCAGTCTGGCCCCCGGCGCATCCGCTTCTCCGAAATGCTTCGCTCTGAATACATGAGCGGATTGGATCCTGTTTCCTCCCAGCGGAAGAAGAGGAAGCGGAAGCAGGAGGAGGAGGAAGAGGAGCAAAGGTGACCCAGGTGGGCCTTTCCCAATGGGAAGAAGCCCCTTCAAGATGGACAATCCCATATTAAATCTCAAAATTAAAGCCATTCATCATTGTTTTGAATCTCGGTTCCTCTTTATTTTCCCAAAAGGATAGATTATTATTATTATTATTATTATCATTATCATCCCAGAATCCTCTTTTCCAAAACTCTGGGTTTTTGCTAAGTCACCTTTGGCACATACATCAATGTTTACATTTTCCTCAGTACGGTGGGTTTGGGGCTGAAACCTTTCCATTTTGCATTATTATTATTATTATTATTATTATTGTAGTAGTAGTAGTACTGCTATTATTACTATTTATTATTACTATTATTATTGCTAGTATTATTACAATTTATTATTATCATTACAATTTATTATAATTACTATTATGGTTGCCGTTATTATTTATTACTACTTTTATTATTACAGTCATTACTATTCATCATTATTACTATTTATTATTATTATTTGTATCTGCTATTTTTCTCTAAATAGAGACTCAAAGCAGACCAAAATTAGATTCAAATGTTTAAAAACACAGTATGTCACAGCAAACGAGATACATATACTGACACATACTGTGATTTAAAGAAAATAAATTATTATTATTATTATTATTTTACTGACACAAAGCACAGCAAATGAGATCTATATGCTGGATTTCGTATCACAAAATGACAAGTCGAACACTTCCCAAGCATCTAGGACTGTGTGATGTATTATTATTATTATTATTATTATTTTACTGACACAGAAGCACAGCAAATGAGATCTATATGCTGGATTTCATATCACAAAATCACAAGTCGAACACTTCCCAAGCGTCTAGGACTGTGTGATGTATTGTTATTATTATTATTATTATTATTATTATTATTATTATTTTACTGACACAAAACACAGCAAATGAGATATATGCTGGATTTCGTATCACAAAATCACAAGTCGAACACTTCCCAAGCCTAAGGCTGTGTGATGTATTATTATTATTATTATTATTATTATTATTATTATTATTATTATTATACTAAAAGCAGAGTATGTCACAGCAAACGAGATCTATATGCTGGATTTTGTATCACAAAATCACAAGTCGAACACTTCCCAAGCGTCTAGGACTGTGTGATGTATTGTTATTATTATTATTATTATTATTATTATTATTATTTTACTGACACAAAAGCACAGCAAATGAGATCTACATGCTGGATTTCGTATCACGAAATGACAAGTCGAACACTTCCCAAGCATCTAGGACTGTGTGATGTATTATTATTTATTATTATTATTATTATTATTATTATTATTATTTTACTGACACAGAAGCACAGCAAATGAGATCTATATGCTGGATTTCGTATCACAAAATGACAAGTCGAACACTTCCCAAGCATCTAGGACTGTGTGATGTATTATTATTATTATTATTATTATTATTATTTTACTGACACAGAAGCACAGCAAATGAGATCTATATGCTGGATTTCATATCACAAAATCACAAGTCGAACACTTCCCAAGCGTCTAGGACTGTGTGATGTATTGTTATTATTATTATTATTATTATTATTATTATTATTATTATTATTATTTTACTGACACAAAAGCACAGCAAATGAGATCTACATGCTGGATTTCGTATCACGAAATGACAAGTCGAACACTTCCCAAGCATCTAGGACTGTGTGATGTATTATTATTATTATTATTATTATTATTATTATTATTATTATTATTATTTTACTGACACAAAAACACAGTATGTCACAGCAAACGAGATCTCTATGCTGGATTTCGTATCACAAAATCACAAGTCGAACACTTCCCAAGCATCTAGGACTGTGTGATGTATTGTTGTTATTGTTATTATTATTATTATTATTATTATTATTATTATTTTACTGACACAAAAGCACAGCAAATGAGATCTATATGCTGGATTTTGTATCACAAAATCACAAGTCGAACACTTCCCAAGCGTCTAGGACTGTGTGATGTATTATTATTATTATTATTATTATTATTATTATTATTATTATTTTACTGACACAAAAACACAGTATGTCACAGCAAATGAGATCTATATGCTGGATTTTGTATCACAAAATCACAAGTCGAACACTTCCCAAGCATCTAGGACTGTGTGATGTATTGTTGTTATTATTATTATTATTATTATTATTATTATTATTATTTTACTGACACAAAAGCACAGCAAATGAGATCTATATGCTGGATTTCGTATCACAAAATGACAAGTCGAACACTTCCCAAGCATCTAGGACTGTGTGATGTATTGTTATTATTATTATTATTATTATTATTATTATTTTACTGACACAGAAGCACAGCAAATGAGATCTATATGCTGGATTTCATATCACAAAATCACAAGTCGAACACTTCCCAAGCTTCTAGGACTGTGTGATGTATTGTTGTTGTTGTTGTTATTATTATTATTATTATTATTATTATTATTATTATTATTATTTTACTGACACAGAAGCACAGCAAACGAGATCTATATGCTGAATTTTGTATCGCAAAATCACAAGTCGAACACTTCCCAAGCGTCTAGGACTGTGTGATGTGTTGTTGTTGTTGTGTGATGTGTTGTTGTTGTTGTTGTTGTTGTTGTTATTATTATTATTTTACTGACACAGAAGCACAGCAGACGAGATCTATATGCTGGATTTTGTATCACAAAATCACAATCGAACACTTCCCAAGTGTCGAGGACAGGGGTCCTCAAACTAAGGCCCGCGGGCCAGATACGGCCCTCCAAGGTCAATTACCCGGCCCTCGCTCAGGCTCAACGTAAGTCTGAAATGACTTGAAAGCACACAACAACAATCCTATCTCATCAGCCAAAAGCAGGCCCACACTTTCCACTCAAATACTAGTAAGTTTTCATTTAATTATTCTATTTAAGTGTTTTTTGTACTACAAATAAGATGTGTGCAATGTGCATAGGATTTTGTATCACAAAATTCATGTTTGTTTTTTTCAAATTATAATCTTGCCCTCGGTATAAAAAGTTTGTGGACCCCTGGTCTAGGATGTGTGATTTTTCAATTATTATTATTATTATTTTGTTGTTGTTCATTCGTTCAGTCGTCTCCGACTCTTCGTGACCTCATGGACCAGCCTACGCCAGAGCTCCCTGTCGGCCGTCACCACCCCCAGCTCCCTCAAGGTCAGTCCAGTCACTTCAAGGATGCCATCCATCCATCTTGCCCTTGGTCGGCCCCTCTTCCTTTTGCCTTCCACTTTCTCCAGCATAATTGTCTTCTCTAGGCTTTCCTGTCTCCTCATGATGTGGCCAAAGTACTTCAACTTTGTCTCTAGTATCTTTCCCTCCAGTGAGCAGTCGGGCTTTATTTCCTGGAGGATGGACTGGTTGGATTATTATTATTATTATTATTATTATTATTTTACTGACACAAAACCACAGTATATTATTATTATTATTATTATTATTATTATTATTATTATTATTATTATTATTTGTCCCTCACTTTTTCTCCCTAGAAAGACTCAAAAGGGGACCAAAGTTGGACCCAATTTGGGATTATTATTATTGTTGTTGTTATTTGTGCCCTGCTTCTTCTCCCTTTTGGCCTTGATCCTCCCAATGGATTCCTTGTATGCTTTTGCTCCCTTCTTTCTGGCACTCATAATAAGATTAATTATGTTGATCTCCCGGCTGGGCCTGAACAGGCGCCCCATTCATTCCTTGGCAATTAAATGCCCCCCGATTTGCATTTCTGTCCCAGGAGGGGATTAAGGCGAAGAAGAGAAGAAGAAGAAGAAGAGGCGAACGGGCTGCTGTCCCTTTGATAGGCCTCTAATGGGGCTTCAAGGGGCTTTTGTGGGGCCGCAATGGGATTACCTCCCTCCCGCCTGGGTTTGTGTGCAGATCCTGCCAAAAGGGACTCCTTCCCACTTCATTAACCCCGAGGAGGACAATCCCTTGATTCGGACCCCGCTGGTTTGTTTTCCCCAAGGATTTGCCTTTTCTGATGCAAAACGAAAGAAAGAAAAGAAGAGAAAGAAAGAAAAGAGGAGGAGGAGGACAAACAACAGTCCCCAAAGGCTTTGGGATCAAGGCTTCCAGAAGAAGGAAGGATGATGGGAGTCGCTTCCCAGGCTCACAGGCCAGGAGGGGAGAAAGTTAGGTGGAAATATCACTGCGATGGTGATGGTGATGACGACAACAACTGACCATTTGGGATGTTGATAGATTCCTTTTCATTATTATGATTATTATATCTTGACTTGGACATCATTTTTGACACTTGTCCCAACCTTCCTTCTCTCCTTCCTTCCCATTTTGTGCCACCTTCCTTCCTTCTTTGCCATTTTTATCCTTCCTTCCTTCATTATTGCCTCCTTTCCTATCTTCTTTTTCCATCTTTCTGTTGCTTCCTTCCCTCCAATCTCTTTTTTCCTTCCCTTCTTTCCTTCCCATCTTTTTCCCTGTTTTGTCCAACCTTCCTTCTTTCTTTGCCATTTTTTCCTTCCTCCCTTCCTCCCTTCCTCCCTCCCTTCCTTCCTTCCTTCCTTCCTTCCTTCCTTCCTTCCTTCCTTCCTTCTTCTCTTCCCTTCCCTTCCCTTCCCTTCCCTTGCCATTTTTGTCCAACTTTCCTTCCTATCTTCTTTTCCATCTTTCTGTTGCTTTCCTTCTTCTTTCCCGCCACCAATCTCTTTTCCTTCCCTTCTTTCTTTCTTTCTTTCTTTTGTTCCTTCCTTATCATCTTGTCCAACCTTTTTCCTGTTTTGTCCAACCTTTCTTCCTTCTTTGCCACTTTGTCCTTCCTTCCTCCCTCCCTTGCCATTTTTGTCCAACTTTCCTTCCTTCCTATCTTCTCTTTCCATCTTTCTGTTGCTTCCCTCCTTTCCCTCCACCAGTCTCTTCTTTCCTTCCCTTCATTCCTTTTCTTCCTTCTTCCCATCTTTTCCAACCTTTTTCCTGTTTTGGTCAACCTTCCCTCCTTCTTTGCCACTTTTGTCCTTCCATCCACCCACCCATCCATTCATCTCATCTATTCATCCATTCATCCAATTATCTATCTA